CTCTTCTTCTTCTTCTTCTTCTTCTTCTTCTTCTTCTTCTTCTTCTTCTTCTTCTTCTTCTTCTTCTTCTTCTTGCTGCTGTCCTATTTATTGTTACTGCTGCTGAGAGTGAATTACCAATCAAGAAAAGTAGCTTGTTTTAATGTTTTTGTCTACGGACCGAAAATTACTCAAAACGAATTCCCTACTTGAAAGAATCATTGCTGTAACACACAACCACAATGCTCTCTTTTAGATGATCAAAGATTGTTTGTTTTCATCATCCCTTCTGATTGTAACACTTTGCCTGCACTTTAAAAAATACAAAGCAAAGCAAGCAGAGTTAAGCAAGCTTTAAAATACATACGTAGATATCTTGAACAAGTGGGTGACAGGGAAATAATATGGGGTTTGAGAGCAGTTGAGCAGGGAAAATCAGTGGCGAACAATAATCGCCGATGTCTATTTCATATTTGGCACCTGGGGAAGGACTTCAACATGAATCCCTTGACGTGGGAGAGCCTAGCTCTTGACAGACGCAGTTGGAGAGCAGCGGTCACAAATGGCAGCGAATCATGAGGCTTCACGAATAAGAAATGCTGAAGCCAAGAAAGAAGCGCACAAGCTGCATACACAACAAGTCGAAATGAAGCTTTTAAATGCTCGGAGTGTCGCAAACTTTTCTTTGCCAAAACTGGTCTGATCGATCTCAGCAGGAGCCACATTCCGTTTTAATCCTTATTGGTTTCTTCTATTTCCCTAAAGAAATATTCTCCTCTGCAGATTCGCTGGTCATGGCCAGTCACTGACGGACGAACTATTACAAGATTAGTATTACCCGAGTAAGAAGAATACATTTCTTGTGTTTGTTTATTTGTTTGAGAAAAGAGAAAGATGTCGATATCGACACAATAAGTAATGATCATTTAGTGCAGGGAAAAAGTAAGACAGATAAAATAGACAGACATAACAGTCAGTGAGTAATGAAGTAAGGACATACAAGTGGTCGCCTCTAACCACCCACGAAAAGAAATGTTTCGTAACAACACATAGAACAAATTATTTAACTTTCATCTCTCATTTTCTTTCTCTCTTTTCCCCCAGGATACCGTGATCTGGAAGACGTGACGGTTAAAGAAGGCGGGAAGGCCAGGTTCCTGTGTCAGACGTCCATCCACCCGCGCCACGTCTCCGGAAAGAACTTCCGGGACCGGGTCACCGTCCACTGGACCTTCAATGGACGCCGGCTCGACCTTGACCCTGAGGAGGACTCCGGGAGTGAGGAAGATGAGGAGGAGGAGGAGGTGGCAGAGTACTCGTCTATGGAGAAAAAGCATTACATATTCAAGTCGTACCAGAACAGACATGTGCTGCTGATCAATAAGGCGAGGAAGGAGGATGAGGGAGAGTACTCGTGCGTCACCACTCTCGGGGATAAGGTGGACATGGCGTCTGGGATACTCACCGTGCAAAGTGAGTTGTTGAATGTTATCTATTTATCTATCTATTTATCTATCTATCTATCTATCTATCTATCTATCTATCTATCTATCTATCTATCTATCTATCTATCTATCTATCTATC